TTCACATGCTCAAAAATAATAGGGACTTGTGTTACATTTGATGATTCTATAAACATAAATTATTAAAAATCATACTTTTGTACCAGTCATGAAAATCTTACATCAACATATGACATAAACAATCACTCACAATTACACATACATGTACAAACACTTCTCACTGACAGTGCTGCAGAAAAAGTACACATTATTGGGTCCAACATGGGCTGCTGTGCTAATTTTTCTACACTTATTTTTTGATAGCTTAATTGACTAATTTACGTTTATATATTCATTTATCTTTACGAAGGTTACTGTCAATGTAGTTGAAGATTGAACGATCAATTCTCGGTTGTTTGCTCAAAACCAACTTCCCCAATTTTCGCGGAGGCATCAATACGACAGTCATCGTCTCATCGGTCGCTGTTCAGAAAGAAGTCAGCAGAAAACCGTCAGAAGTAAAATTGTGATTTATTATTGTAATATTTGTTCACAGACCTAAGTGGAAACATTTTTTATATGTTGGTGTAACAATAAAGAATCCTCGAGTCAACAATTGGTGTTTTGGTTTATTCGTCCGTTATTACTAAGCGTTTCTGAGAAACTCCAAGGGACAGCGTGAGCCCGAGCGTAGCAAAAGCTGGTCATTAACGGTTTACGAGACGTGGCTGACAGTTTCTGACGGTAGAAACAGATTCTGGCGGATTCAGACAGTTGGTGAAAGTCTGGATAGTCACCATTTATCTTTCCTGGTGCCGGTCAAGTCCTCTTTGAACAAGCAATATCTGGAACGATTTTGGAATTGGGTCAAGTTCAACAATGCCTGGGTCAAAGAAGGGACAGAGTGTCTTGGATGCAAACAGGAAGGTAAGTCGTAGTGACTTGTCTGTTAATTGTAACGATGTGTCTGATGTTAAGCATGACATGGTTGATGTTACTGTTTCGCCGTTCAGGGATAATAGGAACATCAAACTCCCTAAATTTGAACCACGATGTTTTGATGTAAACCCAGCTGATTATTTACAATTTGTAAAGGAGTTTGAGATCATGTTGAGTGGTTTTTTATTAACTGATGAATTGAAGTTAATGTATTTGATGAGATATTGCACTGGAGATGCTGCAAGAGCTATACAGTGTTGTAAGTTTATGAAGCCAAAAGAGGGCTACTACGAGGCTATGAACACACTACGTCAAAGGTTTGGAAGACCTTCGATGATTGTAGGGAAATTATTCGAGGCTGTTAAGGGTAATGACAGTCAACTACAAGATGACTCCCAGGCACTCACTGAGTTTTTGGATAACTTGCTGATTTACAAGAATGCATTGATTTCGATGAATCGCATGAGTGACCTCAACTCGAGTTTTATACTAGAAGTAATAGCAAGACGTCTACCTACTCGACTGCAAAGGAAGTGGGTGAAGATAAGCTCCCGTATGGAGGATGAGGGTATCGAGCCAAAATTTGATGATATCCTGAAACTAGTAAAAGATAGTGTCAATCAATCTATGAGCAAGATTGCCAGTATATTGAATCTCACCCCTAGAATAGAGCAGTCTGAGGGTAAAACGCAATCATTGATGACGAGTAGGCCTCAGAGTGGTGGATATCGAGAAGGCTCCATGATGTCTAGTAATGCATATAGACCTGGTGAGTGTAACAGGTTTCGTAGTACATCCTCAATAGATAAGTTACAAGATGCAAGACAAACACGGTTGTGTTTTTCACGTTTGCAAGAGGTGCATACAAAGGTGAACTGTGAACCAGTGAGCAAGTTCAGTGATAAGCTAAATGTGAAATCAAGGCCTGATTCCGAATTGTGTGACGATAACGGTGCGGTGAAGAAGTCTGTAGTTGCAACTGGTAAGCCATTGTTGAATAGTGTCACAGAATAGAGTTGCTGCTTCAGAGTGCAGTTCTGGCCGCACAAGTTTACAAGGTATTACTAGTCAGAGTGAAGGTATGAAATCTTTAGGGATTTGTGAGGAAGAACCCTAATCATCTACTGCTGTTATTAAAGAGTTTGAAAATGATGAAGTCGACCAGATAGATGATGGTAAATTGAATATTTGTGATAATGATGATGATACTTCACAGTTGTCTTTGGTTGATCATGATGAGATGAGGGATATGCCTACTACAAGTTAAACGCGGTACGTTCGAATCTGGTGCAATTTTGCACGTGTTTTCGCTGATATTCATTTTTCTGTTCTGCTATATTATCACCAATAATAATGGGCAAAAGCTATAAAAAACGTGTTCTTAGGAACACTAGTAACTTAGAAAATAGCTTAAGCTTATCGAGTAACGCATTAACACCCCTTAAATCAGCTGCAGTTAGTAGTTCACCCAATATAAACGGTTCCAACATAATGCTAACCCCTGTAATTCAGGTGGAAGATATCCTGTCACAAAAGGGAGAGATTACTAACTTAGCCTGCATCATAAATGACATGCAGCTACAAATAAATGAACTCAGGACGAAACTAAATCAACTTGACCTGGTACCAGAAACAATCCTCCATCTTAAAAGGGAACTGGGGGATCTCACTTTTCTGAAACTCTTTAAGCTCAGGACTAAACCAACCGATGCTGAATTGGAACATGCTAAGGAGCTAGAAAACGTTATGGACTATTTGTCGAGCGAAGTTGTTAAGAGACTTGCTTCTAAACAGAACGCCATAGTGTACAACATACCTGACAAACAGCCCATAAAATCGGTTCAGCACTCCTTGTTAAGAGCTGCCAACCTTCTAAGTACACCCTGTCAGTGTATTAGACTAAATAAAAAGGAGACAAACAGCACATGTCCCATACTTTTCAGGTTTGACAGCTGTATTATAGCCGAGCAATTCAGGAAATCTGAGGATATTTTGGCTTCCACTACAAAATTCAAAAATCTTAAAATAGTCCCGGACAAAACCCCCAACCAACGACAAGTAGCTAAGAACACCATAGATACAAACACGATTATACCACAAATCGTGAATAGCGTCAGCATCGAAGTGTCAAAGAACACTGTAGCACAAAGTGACACTTGCACTGTAGTAGGTGAACAAACGACACAAGAAGGCGAAGGGAAACCCAAAAAGAGCAGTAACACTGTAATTGGTCTCGAAGTTCGTGAGAACACTCCTAGTAAATCTACTGACCACACCCACGAAGTAGATGTAGATGCTCCTACTACCGATAACCTGCAAATATCGGCAGATCACACTGCACCCAGGGCCAAACAAGATAATCCAACTGTAAAAGCAGTAAAGAAGTTCCCTAAAACCAAGGTTTCTCCTCATGCGTCCATATACCTCCCTTGTGACAAGCCCAACAAGCAGCATATAAGCCTAAAAAATAACTATGCACGCATTGCGGCAGGTCCCATAAAGGAGACGGAAGACGTGAATGGAAGAGCTCCTCGTCGAACTAAGAGTAGTAGACGAATTGAGGACGACAGACTGCACAAGGTGAGAACTAACGGCAAAAATAGCTCTGCCCACACAAAATCACACACCAGCAGATATGCAAGGGGCACCGAGCTGATCAAACAGCAGAGTGATACCCACGATTTCCGCAATAGCCGAGGTTGTAAAATGCCTGTAGGCACGTATAACCTGAGGACGGGACCCATAATCAATATTGAAAACACATGGGCTACTAGACGGGACACCACTAGGTACCATATCAACGGAAATGTATACTCGAACCCTCGGAATAACGGGTATAGATTGGCCCCTGGTCCTTCTAGGTACACTCACGAGATGAGTCAGCAAATGTACAACTACGTAAGACCTAGCACGCACTATCCTCAAAATAACCTAAAAACAGGTTACTATGGCCCTGTAAATTACAATGTGAACAGTGAAACAGACTATTTTATGCAGAGAAATGATCCTAGATACCCACGTAATGAGGCCAGAAACGATTATATGCAACAGGATTATTTTCAGTTGCAGCAAACAATAGCCCCCCTCACAGCACAATTTGTCCAGGGAATAGTAAACACGCTGACAATGTCTCATATGAGGATCCCTCCGAACATAACATAGGCAACCAGGAGTTAGGGATAGTAACAAGAAAACCCACCAACTATCCAAACAACCCTGGTTTTCTGAAAATTATGCTCTTAAATGCTCGATCTCTTCTTAGCAAAATAACTTCCCTTCGCAGCTTGGTATACATGGAGCGGCCAACACTGATTCTGGTAACTGAAACTTGGCTTACTACTGATATACCTGACACAAAGCTGATAATTGATAACTATAACATCCACAGGAATGACAGAGTAGACAAGAGAGGAGGCGGCTGTCTAATATATGCCTCTAAATCCACTAACTCCAATACCTTTACAAACCTAACTATCGACAAACTCCCAGAATCCAAGTGGATAAGCATCCACACGAATGAAAATAACATTCTTGTGGGATGTATATACAGAGCCCCTAACAGCCCTATAACGACTGATACGGTTATCGGAGAAATACTAGAGACTGTACCTAAGCTGGAGTTCGACTACAAACTAGTTTGTGGCGATTTCAACCTCCCTGGAGTGAACTGGGATACCTGCACTGGACCGAGAACCTACGAGGTGATCCTAGAAGCCATAGATGTAGGAGGATGGAAGCAGTGCGTACGCCTCCCAACACGACACAACAATATTCTCGACTTAATCCTCTGCCACAAAATAGAGCCGATCTCGATAGAGGTGAGGGATAAACTCGACAACAGTGACCACAACATACTGTACTGCACCCTACCCTTACAACTAACAACTAAACACACACCTAAGAGTTCCCCGGTTTACTATCAATATAGGGACTATCGAAATGCCGACTGGGAATTCCTACCAACGCTCTTGAGAAGCTCAGACTGGGGTGAATACTTCACCAATAATAACTTAGAAATAATACTAAATACCTTCTACAAGACAATCAGTTCGGTAAGAGACACAATCGCACCCCTGAAATCTGCCCTAAAGACACCAACTCTATTCATAGATCGCAAAACGCGATTAAAACTAAGGAAACTAAAAAGGAAATTTTATTTATACAAAGAATTTAATGCATTACACCAGATACACGAAACATTTAAAAATTTAGTTGAGAGACATAAAATGAAAGCACAAGTCGAGGAAAATAAAGCCCTAGAGGGCACCTCTAAAACCCAGGAACTCTGCAAAATCTTGCAAAAACGGCTGAAGAAGGGTGAAGAAAACAATATCAGTCATTTAGAACACGAAGGTATAAATTATGATGATCCCCAGATCATCAGTGAACTCCTGAGTGAGTGGTTCTCCAATAACACCAAAGCACATCCGTCCCCAATTCTCGACATAACCTGCAAAAATAACTACAAGTTAGGTGAAATAAACTTTAATATACAAAATATAGCATCGGCGGTAAGGACATTAAAAGCTAACAGTAGTTGTGGGATAGACGATATACCATCCGTCATATACAAAAACGGTGGTACGGATATGATAGTATTATTACTTAGAATATTTAATATCTCACTAGTGACTGAAACCTACCCTGAAACTTGGAAAAACACATATATATTACCTAAGCATAAAGGAGGGGCCAAAACTAGTGCATGTAATTATAGGCCTATCAATATAACACCTGTCATATCAAGGATCATGGAGAAAGTAATCGAAGACCAAATGTCAGACTACTTTCTAAAACATAAACTAGACCTAGGACTGATATATTCACAAAATCTATCATTTTCTGAGCATATCTCGAATCAAGTGTCGAAATCACGAAGGCTTATTGGTTTCTTACTCAGAAACTTGTACAGAAACGAATCCAGAATACTACTGTACAAGTTTTGTGTGCGCCCACTCCTAGATTACTGTTCATTCATATTCAGCAGTACACGCATAGAAGACAAGCTGAAAGTAGAAGGAGTACAGAGGTACTTCACGCGAAAAGTACTCGGAACCGATAACGGCACAAACTACTCTACCAGATGTGAAATCCTGGGACTAGAAACATTATGGTTAAGGCGACTGCGACTAAATCTGTCACTCTTCTATAAGCTTCTTAACCAAATAGTGCATACCCCTGCTAACTATACTCGGTCCTCAGGTAACACAGGATACAACCTTAGGCACACTAAAGGTACAGTGGCTATAGAACCATGTAAAACAGCCACCAGGCAAAGGTTTTTCTTGGTTAGGTATGCCCAAATATGGAACAAACTACCTGAGAAAACGCGACTAGCAAGCACATTGGCCTCCTTTGAAAAGGCACTTAATGACACACTAAGTGAGTTTGTAATTGATACCAGTGGTAATTCCCATGTAAGAGTTTCAGAAATCATAGGCCCGTTTAATGTATGAACTCAGAGACTACACCTGTTGTTTGTTTTGCCTCTATTTATAATTCCAGACAAAAAAAGAAGCAGTCATGACAATAACACCCATTCAATCAAGAGTCGATCAAACTATGTCTACCTGATACAAAGGGCGAACCATAACGAACATACGAATGAAGTATGAGAAGACAAGGTAGCAACTTACCGCAACACCACATGAAAAGATAAAAGTTACTCGAACATCATTTATAAACCACCAACTGGTCTCCTACCCAAAAAGAATGCGGCGATGTTTTATCCAAAATGGAGAGGAAATACATAAATCCACAGCTGCTGTTGTAAACACTCAGTGGGGGTAGGAGCCAACAAAGTAATCCTTTCAAAGCATATGTATACTTCAAATGGGCACGGAGACTCTGTAGAATACGTCATAATCCAAATCACTGCCTATACAGCGCCAATAAACCTGGATATCTATGTGATATGTATCCACATATATATTTATGTGTGTGTGTATGTTGGTCTCTCTTTCTGTATGCTGGCTTAGCCTGTGACCATTTCACTTGTATGAACTTGTCTCTTTTAACAATGTATATTCTCCTTATATTATATTATATATAATATGAGTGTTTGTTGACAGTCCGTTGCTTGGTGACATATATCCATATATGTTGGTTGTTGACATGTCTGTTATGTTTCGCTATGCATATGTGGATCGATACTTCCTTATAATTAGCCATTCATGTTAAGACTGTCTAATGATTTGTTCACACCCTTGTCATATATATTTCGCTCACACAATTTGTGTAACTACTTTACTTACTAATCACTTTGGTGTGAGACCATTTAATTTCGTCTCCTTGTGTTTGGACAATAGAAGTATCATCGCAAACCTAGTGGCCTTCTGATTTCCGCCTTCTTGCGTCAGGACTATTAAATTCTCGACCAGTCCATAACAATAAATTAGTCGACGAGTACATAACACTATGATATAACGAAAACATGCAGAGAGCTGCATCTCAGATCAAGTTGATTCATTCGATGGTAATGATCTGCTCCTGCATGCCTTATTCGACATATTGAATGGAATGGTCCGCGGTTATTCTGATACCAGATCGAAAAGAATAAAAAATTCACCGGTTGCTGAATCAAAAGTACTTCTCTGCATGTTTAACTGTATTATAACTGCTATGATTAATTCCAAACCTTTTATCTTATAATCAATCAAATTCCAGGAACGATCCAATTCTACCATTTGAAGACGCTGGCGAACATGCTGTAAATGAGTATTCATGATCTGAAATGAAGAAGCAACACAAATGGAGCAAATGGAGAATCCTGGAATCGACCTCGGCACTACTTGATGCAGTAAAACAACCCAACATGACCTTATCTAGTTTTCGTATCCACGATCAAATTTCTTTCCTGTTATAAAACTACGATAAGACTGCTGAAAAAAGGGAATAAATATATCACTGATCATTAATCTTTAAGCCAAGGGTGTTGTTCACAACAAAGTTATATAGGAGAATTGACTTCAAGCTTTATTTTTCCCAGATATCTGTACTACATTCATCTGATGTCTGGGTTTTTTGTTAATGCGAAGACAATGTCTCTATATCTCTTTATGTCCTACACAAACAGACTTTATAGCAGACTGTTCCGACTGACTCTAATGACAGAAAGAACAACCAAACTGTAAATCCATTATACATCAAATTGTGTAATTTATATAACAACTTATCCATACATGTACAATAGATATGTTCCCGCATAAACAGGAAGGAACATATTATTATTATCAAAACAATATTTATGCATGCCTATACAATTGGTGTACCCTACATAGCTAGGGAAAAAATTGCACCTTGATATATTATCTTTACTAAATATGCTTATTAATATTATGTGTAACTTATCGAATTGATGATGCCTGTAAACTGGCGTCCCTCATGTAAAAAATGAGAATATTATTATTATTACTGCTAAGTTGAACAAAGGTTCTGTACAACTTGAACGTGAATTAGAAATAAATGCAGATGCAGAAGGCATGCATACTTGTGAGACCGTCAGTGTGAGTGATCAGCATGTAGCCCACCTACCATCAGATGATAGTGCTAAACCTGAACAAGTAGTGAAAGACAGCAGTGGTGGTGGTCTTGCGGTTGGACAACTTTCTGAAAGTCGAGCAACAACAGCTTTTGATCCACCGCTAAGTTCATCAACTGATATCAATCAGTCGTCGTTGGTGTTGTCATCCACAATGCGAAAGACGCCCATCAACTCAAGTATCTTGTGCAATGACTATGCTAGTATCAGTTCGATTTGAAAGGACGAATATCAATGGTCAGTTAAGTGTGGATAAGCCAAGTGTAAACGAGAGAGTAATTGTTAAATTGACTTGCTCGAATAAAGGCATTTCAAGTTTCAATTTACTATTTGAATGTTTTTATCTTCGGTGTAAATTACTCTGTTTCTACGCTTGGTTGACCAGATACGTCGTATGTTTGTTCGTCATCTATATTCTACGATACAATGACATGAGCGAGTTGCCGTTCAGATTTGAGGATATAGCTGATAGAGGGAAGTCAGCAAATGAACTCTGCAACGATTTTCCAACCTATGGCGTCCGTCTGAGAAGGGTTGTAGGCGTAGTGCTTTAAAGCCTACAATTCTTCAAAGGGTAGCGCATCAATGAGCAGTCCAATGTGCTTGGTGTGTTGTTTTGTACATATGTTCATATTGTATATACTGAATTGATATCATCTGTCATCTGGCTTTTGGCAATTCTGTTTGTGTCCGGACGACTTCCACTTGGATCATCAACCTGAGAAGGAATGTAGGCGTAATGCTGTAAGTCCTACAGATCTTCATGGGTAGTTTGTCGTGCCAGAATCCACAGCATTTGATGTGTTGATTGTACATATGTTTGTGTTAAATAATTGTATGAGTTCCAATTATTGTAATTGTTGGTTAATCTTGTGTGTGTCCGGACATTCCACAAATTACAATCGTCAACCTGAGAAGGGTTGTAGGCGTACTGGTGTAAGTCCTGCAATTCTTCAAAGGAATTCCACCAAGACATGATCCGCGAGTTTGCGTGTACTGTTTGTGTATATGTGTGGTGTGTCATATCAATTGGTGTTTTTTGGATTCATTGTGTTTACTCGTTGTTTCCGTACCTTGTTGTTATTGCGTAATTTTGTTAAAATTTTCGTCGTGATTACTTCTGAAGTCGTTTCGAGTCTTCTACATCCATGAATGAATTGATTGATGTTAAGGACAGCAGATGGGTCGTATACGCCGGGGAGGCTATTGTTGAGAATGAAATGCACACGGAGATAATTGTTAGCTGTGGTCCGACACGCCGGGGAGAAAGAGTGTAAACGACTGAGGCTCGCATGCGTCACCGCTACTAGAACTGAGGCAGAATGAGTGACAAGCGATTGCAGTGGTAATTGGTAGTGAGTAGATAATAGGATGAGCGTAGAGTATCGTGAGGTGCTGCCATGGTCACGTTGCATTCTGCAAGAGTCATTCTAGCAAGTGGCGATTGTGTTGCAAGAGGATGCGTTTAACTGGAGGCGCAGGTCGTCAGCGATGTGTGAGATTGTGCTGTGAGTATGCTTGTGGTGTGTTGGCTTTTCTGTTTGTTTTCCATTTCAGCTCTGTCCGTGTGACGTAGGTTCTCGCAATGGCATCCAAGTCAACGTGTATTGGTCGTGAAGGAAAAAAGGGTTGGATCCCTTTTTGCCGGGGAGTGTCAATGGAGTTGAAGATTGAACGATCAATTCATGGTTGTTTGCTCAAAACCAACTTCCCCAATTTTCGCGGAGGCATCAATACGACAGTCATCGTCTCATCGGTCGCTGTTCAGAAAGAAGTCAGCAGTAAACCGTCAGAAGTAATATTGTGATTTATGATTGTAATATTTGTTCACAGACCTAAGTGGAAACATTTTTATATGTTGGTGTAACAATAAAGAATCCTCGAGTCAACAATTGGTGTTTTGGTTTTTTCGTCCGTTATTACTAAGCGTTTCTGAGAAACTTCAAGGGACAGCGTGAGCCCGAGCGTAGCAAAAGCTGGGCATTAACGGTTTACGAGACGTGGCTGACATTTACCTATGTTATTTAGGGATCATTATTTTGTACTTATTTTTCTATTGATTTTTCGTATTATTGTATTTATTTTTGTGTGTGTGTACTCGAAAATAAATATTTTAGGCTGGTGATAGTGCGCGAACGTGACACGACAGAGTACTGAATGGGGTGGATGCTTAACCAGAAGCCTTCAGCTAAACAAATCGACTTAAACTGTGAGGGTCAGCATCCAATGTTCAGTGATGAGTACCGTGGTCAATAATTTTGGGGAATTATTTGCCGCGACACTCTCATTAGTTCAGTCTCATTTGGATTTAGGTGTCATAGCCAGCCACGACTTAAAAACTACACCACACTGTCGCGCAGTTGCGACACGTAGTTCCCTATGGACGACAAGCAGAGCCTTTACCAGAATCACCAGAGACATGTTCACCCCTTATTTACATCTCTGATGAAGTCAAGACTGGAAAACTGCATCCAGACCGCCAGTCCTTGTTTTAATGGGGAGTCACATATTCTAGAGAGGGTTCAAAGGAAAGCAACACGTATGGCTCTCGGCATGACTAACTTATCATGCGAGGAAATCTCTTCTCCATGACATGCCTTAGACAGAAAGGAGATTTAATTACAATGTTTAGAATTTTATATAATGCCTACAGACCTGACCTCTTTCTTCCCACCTGGTCGGAACGCCTTAGAGGACATAGCAAGAGGGTTCAAAAGCCAAGAAGAAATCATATTGCTGTGGAGTATTGGTTCTCAAACCGAGTCATAAAATCTTGGAACAGACTCCCAGAAGTGTTGTCTGCAACCTCAACTGATTCACTCAAGAGTGGCTCAGACAACCACAGAAAATTACTCGGAAAGGATTAAAATAGGCTCCAAGCCTTCTATCCACAATGAATATATCTGAGTCTGAAACATATCTGAACAAGTCAACTCTTTAAGATGACAAATACAAAGCTCATCTCACTAATTTCGTTGAACAAGCCTACACTACAAATTAAATGGCAAGTTTTACAATCAGATTTTTACTTTTAGGGTTACAGCTTTATGGATTGTTGTTGTTTTCATTGATCAGTGCCCAACCAGTCAAAAAGCAATTCAATGTCAAGGTCAGCTCAAGGACACTCGAGTGCGTGAATATCATTGTGAAAATTTAGTCATTCACACTGACCCTTACTTGGAATATTTGAAGGGTGTTTTACTGTTTGATTTTTCATGCATTTTTTGTCTTTTGAGATTCAAATAAAAATACAATGGTAGTATCACTTAGCTGGAATGTGCCCAGCTAGCATTTTGTTCGGGCGCATTGCATGTAGATACATCTTAGTCACTGTTCTTGTGAATCATTTTTGTCGTGATGCTTCATGCCTCCTAAGTTTCCGGGTACATACATCGCAATATATTTCTCATCCTGTTGTTGTCATATTGCCTGGTCGCACAAAAGTATATGACGAGTGGTTAAATAGAGCTTAAAGTAGACACTTTAGACAAATGGTAAGGATGGCGATGTGGTGGAAAAAATCCTAGTTATATGGTGGCATAAAGAGGAAAACATTTCTTAAATAATGGTTAAAATGAGGAATTGGCGGCTGAACAATTAAAGATATCTTTTAAATTTTGGCAAGATATTGGTTGAATAATGGTCAAAATTGTTTAACATTGGTCAGATTTTAGTCAAAGTAAAAAGAATCACGTTATGTAGCTAAAATTCGTCTGCTGTTCACCTATTTTTTTACTATTTTCAGTTGGATGGTCTCTCTTTTATCATCTACGCAATGCAGGTCTATAGTATAACTTGATCTCTATGGAGTTAGAATGATATATTCTCTATGGTGTACGTGCGTGTTACTGTTTTAAGTTGTTATTCAGCACACTGCGGAAAACAACACGAATGTACTCTCCGTGTGTTTGACTTTACTTGCAATACTAGGTCTAGTTAGTATGTTTTTGGCGTGTTAATATCCGAAGTAAATTGTATAATGGTCTCTGCGTATGACAATTTTGAACATATCCTTTATGGTCTACTAAGTAATATCTACAACTGTAGAGGTCTAATTACTCTTGTTAAGTTACCACAGTACTAATAATGCAGATCATTAGGTACATTTTCTTTTCGGAAGAATTTGTAAAGAGGTGGGTTGATAGGGAATGAAAATTCCATTTCCAAAAGAATCGCTGGCGAGGTTTAATCATAACAATCATCTTTATTGATTTTAC